CAAGATTCCGCCTGCCCTGCTATATATGAGACTACACCGTTTGAGTTACTTGATCTTTACAACAAAATTTTATTCCATTGCAATATGGCCATATCAAAGTAGATTTTTGAAGACCTCATATGTTGAGTTTGAAGTGGCAAGGGTTAAAAAGGATTATAGGATTATAAATATAATAAATTCAATAGGATTGCTACTCTCCTTCAATGATCTCAGTAATAGCTCAGCATCCAGTGCTTCAGTACAGAGGAACTGTAGGGTAAGAGCAGAGGACCTGCAGAAACCTTCTGAACTTTCCAAACTTTCCAAAGTCTCTGTTCATGACAAATACTGTACAAGTGTGCTGTTCATGGAAGAGCACCACAGTTAAAAAGTCTTTGCTGAACATTTCAAGTTCTATAATGCTTTTGGGAGTTTTGTGGATGGATGAGATAAAATTTTATGTTAGGGGACAAAAGGCAATGCACACCAATGGCAAAGCCTCATACCAACCATGAAGCATAGTGGAGACAGTGTCATGGTGTGAAGCTGACAGGGTCTGGATAGCATTCTGTCATTGCAGGAACAACAAATTCAAAACTGTATAATGAAGTTTTACAGTAGAATCTCAATGGCCTTTCACTTAATGCAGTAAATTAGCAACAGAATGACTTCAACAGAAGGAATTGTGTTCTGGAATTGGTCAAGACAGAGTGTAGACCTCAACCCAAGTGTGACGCAGTGGCCTGTCCTGAAGAGCACTATTCACACAAGAAGCCCTTGAAATCTGAATGAACTGAAACAATTTTGTAGGGATGAATGGTCTAAAATTCCTTATCCCCATTGTGTAAGACTGATCCGTAGCTGCAGGAGACCTTTTATCTTAATCAGTGGTTCTTAACCTTTTTTGCGCCATGACCCAATAAATAGTATATGTTTAAATTAACACTATGATCACGCGCGCAGTGCAATCTGCAATTTACGCCAATCAATGGCTATCGCATAAATCTGATTGGATCTGCCAGTAAATTTTAAATTAAGCATCTGTGGTTTGACTTTTTGGTTTGGCTGAGGGTTCTCTAGTTTGCAGACCCAAGACCCATTTATATAGGTTAATTCTACAATTGGGCTGGGAAATCTGATCCTGGATCAGCATAAGAGCTTGCTGGTTTTAAAATGCTTACATTTTCCAACTCTGCCCTGCATCCCTTTCAGAACTTGCCAAATTTGGGTCGAGAATCGCTGGTCTAGGATATTCCAATTGCAAAGCTGAAAATGAACCTGGGGGAAAGGATTCTTTGCGCTGGTTTCTTTCCTCACATGGCAGACCCACATAAAAAGGACAATCCTCAGAGACTTTCATCTTGCACGACCCACTGACCTTAGGCTAACCTAAATACGCTACCAAAAGTTGTGATACCTTGTAGCAGATGGTCAGGAAGCATCCACTGGGATTTCATGGGATGAGGACATTACCCTTTATGGGACAATAGAGGAAGGGATGAAAGAAGTGCAGGATGACTTCATGCTAAAAATGAGACAGCCCCATCTATCTGTGGAGGCTGGAAAAGCCTGCCATTCAGAAATAGCTCCCATCAGTCATGGAAGGCAATGTTCAGTCCGGCTCCTCTGAGAATCGATGGGGGTGCAGGCCGTAGTACGCTGAGGCCTGCTTACTAAATTTATCTGACATTCAGCTCTGTGCTGTGCCTCAAACTCTACTGGCAACAACATCAAACTTTCATTAGGTAATACATGATGGTCTAAACAGTCTGAACTTCATATTTTTATATATATATATATAGGTTTCTCAGCTTTAGATTTTTCAAACTGACAAAATTAGTGACTCAGTTTTTAAATTTGTGTTTTTTAAATGGAAACTTTTTCAAGTGAAATGAAATGATGATACTTGATCCACTTGAGGAGATTCTCTTTTGGCCTGTCCCATCTTTGCTCTCCATGACACACGGAAAAGTTGTATATTACACACGGAGAAGCCATACATTAACCATGGATTATTCACTGAAGTCTGTCTCAACTTGACATAGTGATATGGATGAAGCAGATTTTTTTTTCTTTTATTCAGTATAGAGAATAACATTGGACTAAACCCTAGAAAAGCTACAATAACAATTTGAGTGCTTAGGACAGTGAGAAAGTTCAGGTTAGAAGTGCAAGAGCCGTCTCTGTATTTTCTGTAATTAGGCACCAACTTAGATGCACACATCAGACATTTTAAGAAGCTCTATGTATTTTAAAATAGCTAGGCAGTCCTGGTTTTATGAGCCACATTCCATAATGTGTCCCCTGGAACATCTGAGCATGCTCCTTCATGATGGATGGTGAAGGTGGAATTAGCCTCCTGGAATTCATCTGAAAGGACGCCAGGGGCCATCATGCGACCATCTTGCGTGATCTGGAGGATTCCACACATGGGAAATTGAAATGAGAATCAAAGCCTTCCTGCAAAGGTTTTCCATTGAGTTCACTGTTCCTTCAAACTGCATTTAAGAAACATTTAACCAAAGTTTTGCCAACAGTGTTTATATTATCAGCTTTAAAGGTTTATTTTGTTCATTTCAGTATAATGTAGCGGAAGTTCCTTCATCCTAACATTCAGTATTTGAGTATTACAATACGTACATTCTATAGTATCCAATCAACTCAGCATACGTTTCTCCTTATGTAACAAGGTTGGTTACTTTTAAATTGAATTGGTAGATGCTTTAATCCAAAGTGACACACACGTGGCCCAGACGACAAAAATACATCTACAGCTATCAAGGACTTATGTACAAGTGCTGCTGGACTAAGCTTTCAGTGATTGACCGAAAACAAGTGTAAGATATTTGGGGGGGAAAGGAACTTTACAAGCACTGCAAATACACACACAAATATCTCCCCAGAGAGAAACTGAATCTAAACGCGATACATGAAAGTGCAGAAGAGCAGCTAGTGGAGACGTGCGAGCCCTGTAAAGGTTAGATCAGGAGACTGTCTTGATCTGCTTGACACCCGATGACACCGTGATGAGCTGTGAGCACCAAAGAGGATGCATCCATCGGCAGTGCTGTGTAAGCTTGCGTCATCCCAGCACCTCATGGGAAATTCCTCCAGTGCTGAAAGTAGGGCTGTGGGCTGCTACGGAGAGCCACGTCTCGGAGGGCAGAGTCACGTTTGGCTGCTGTAAAGACTGTAGCACCGTTAGACTCTAGCTGTGCCTAACAGTCTGCTTTCCTGTTCTTTATTGCTGTCAGCTACTTGGAAAGACATGTTTTGCTTGACAACAGTGCAGGCAGGATTACTTCATACAGGGTGGTCAGCTTTGGTCAGCTGGCTAGAGATTTTCAATTCAAACAAGTCTGTAAGGTTTGCAAACTACCCGAATGTTTTTGATGTGGTCAATTTTAGGTTTATAATGGAATGACATAGATTTGTTGTACGATTTCCTGCGTGAGAGTCTGAACGCGTGAGGGTCACACCACGTGAGAGTTGGCATCCCCGGTGCAGGTTATGTGGAAGGAGTAATACTGTGGGTTATGTACTGGTTAAGCACCTGGAATTGTGATTTGAAAGTTCAGACTGTTTTCTAGTTCCGCTTGTCTAGTACAGGGTTATGGTGAGTGTAGAATATGCACAGAGTGCACATTCACACAATGAAGGCAATTTTAGAGAAACAAATTTCCCTAAACTGTATGTGAACTGTGGAAGGAAATTCAGACAGACACAAGGAGAAAAGAAAACAGGGCTGGGCCCAGAAATGCAGCCTGCGGCGCTGGACACGTGCGGCCACGCTCCTGCTCGCCGGGTCACTCTGCATTCGGCATACTTCTAGATTTATTTTCCCCAAAGAATGCTCTTGTACTTTTTTGTGAAGGTGCTTAACCTGACTTACTTCAATGCCTTTCTGTGCATCTAAAGATGTTGTGGGTAAAAATACTACCCAAATGAAAGATAGCAGAGCGGTTTAGCTTACCTTTAGAGAGTGTTCCACATGCAAAGACTCCTCCATCTTTGTTGTTTCAGCTCCAGCGTACTTGTGTATTTTTATTGAAGTCTTAAGCTCCTTGCTTAGGATTATATCGAAGGAACCTTTCCGAGACATGAAAACGCATGCTGTAGCTATCTAATACCATAAGGGGGTTAAAATGTGAAATGTAACTAAAGCCACAACACATAAGGCCAGTTCTCCTTGGAATCTTTGGCTTTTCTTTTTAACCAGCTTCTTATGAACGGAAAGCAGATCTTGGCAGGCAGACAGGCATAATCCCGGGGGGGGCCAAAGATATGTTTCTGTCCTCATTTACTGGCTGCCCGGGATGGTGCTCACCATGCTTGGGCTGCTACAGTCATTGTTCATTTATCTCTGCTGTTCTTTATGCCAAAGCGTCACATTATGTTGAGCCATCACTGTTAAAAAACACAGCTTTAGGAATGTGTCACAGTGGGAGCCCGGCCGGCTCTCATGAATATTGTAGTATATGATGTACTGCGTCAAGGCGTTCAAAGAGGCTCCTGTTATGTTTTGTTGAGGTACATCCGTCAAAATAAACAGTATCACGCTCTGCTATTATGAATGTTTGTCCTTTTTTTCGGTAATCAGGTGGTACTGTCATGCCTGTACCCTTATCAAGCTTTGTTTTGGAAGTTTTAAGGACCTCACATTTTCTTCATAGCACTAAAATGTTAATAGTTTCTCTAGATTCATATTAAAACAGAAGGTTTTACCAGTTCCTAGTAATGTTCCATGTCGTTCATAAGTTTTCAGGTGGTTGTTTTTCCATGCAGAACATTTAAAAACCAGTTTGTGTATTTAGTTGTTTCTCTAATTGATGTTGTCTTGGTCTTATCGTGTTGTTCACATCGGCGGTTATTTGCTTTTTGCTATTTTTTTTCTGCGTCACTCTCTTAGGACTGGTGCTCTGGTGCCAGAAATGCAAAGAACTTGCTATATCACTCTGTCTGCATGTAGCGGAACACTGATCTGTGTTTCTTTTTGTCTTCCCTCCATTCTGATTCCACAGCTGTCCTTCACCACCTCCTCCAAGATGGCCTTCATGCAGTGTTTGCGCTGGTCAGCGTGGAGCCCCTTCCAGGCGGCTAGCTGTGCTGACGCGCCCTCAGAGGTACGCCTGGCTCTGCGGGGAGGCCCAGGCCCGAATCCCGGGGGCGTCATGGTGTACACAGCGCCACACCTAGACTGGAACTCCAGAGAGGTACTGTGACTCTCCAGAGGCTCAATGGAGATGCTAATTGGTGTCCAGGTGTCTGTCCTTATGGTAGAACCGGCTCTCTATTAAATCCCGATTGAAAAAAGCAGCTCTGCTTGTGCTTCACATGCAATGATGACTTTTGCATATTGCTTAATGATCTGTTTTTTCTAAATCCCATCAAAGTGGCCAGGATAGGAGCTAAGGGTCCCCTAATGTAATGATTTTGTCTTGTCAAAGAGCAGGGGGGCTCCCTAGGACATCACTCTGCTGCCCCTCAGTATGAGTAACGAAGGACTTTCTCTTTCATGTTGCTTTATATTGCATCAGTTCCCTCTGTGAGGAGACTCCTGTTGTTTTTCCTCCGCTTCAGTTTCCGCTTTCAGTAAAATGATTGCTGTTTTCCTGCTGCCTTATTGTCTTATAATCTGCTGTTGCCATCTTAAGCTCTACAGTGCCCACTAGACTGGGCACACAGCCTTCTCGTTCTGTGACAGTAATTTTCCTTTAACTTAGTTAAGAAGTTATAAGTTCCGGGCACGACATGGTCAAGGGCGTTACTTTAGTTCAGACCTGTCCCCTTGCGTTGTTAAAAAGCTTATTAATCTTAAACAACATATATACATACATACAGGAATTAAATGTTCTTTATCTATTATGGGATTAAAGTCATACCATGTTTTTCCAAATGCCATTTGGAAGCCTGAAAATCCATCCTGAGTCCATCCTCAACTATTAACATTGTCTGATAGAAACTTGGCATATTATCAACAATGCTGAGCTGTTTGCTCTCTTCATTTATCATTTTCACCAGAAAGAAACTGACGGATGAGCATTTTGCTTATGGATAATTTAGCATTTGCTTATTTTCTGCTAGCTTCATTGTTTACTAAAGCATTTTTTCTTTTATTTTGTTCGTACAAAGAAATGTAAGATTCATGGCAAGAAATGGTGGCTTGACTTTTCGGAAGAAAACGAGTGCTTTAAAAATGACACCGAACCCAGTGTGATGGACCACTCTTTGTTTTGCCGTTTTTATAGCACTGTAGTGAAGCTGACCTCCAGCACACGTGCTGTCGTACTTAGACAGTAATACTTTGGCTTTTACTGCATACATATATCCTGTGTCTCTGACCAGTGGTTAGAAGACAGGTGGATGTGTGAATGTATACATGCATTCATCTTATGTCTTTTTATAATTTTAAATTCTGTGCATAAAAACATATGTGCTTTTGCATACACATACATTACAAAAGAACAGCGTTTTTGTGGTATGATGAAACAGCTTCATGGGGTGGAAATGGGAGATGACTGTAAGCACCGGCCAAAATTAAAGTTTAAAAGCAAAAGCCTCATTCAGTAATTTTAGAGAAAACATAAAGATGTACAGTCATACCTTTTTTCTTATTTTTTTAAAAAAGGAGTGAATGTGTCATTTCAGAAAAAGTACTCAAATGATGTGAATGTGTCATTTCAGAAAGAGTACTCAAATGACTTTCTTTGAGGATGATAGTGAACTTATTCATGTGTCAGTATATTCAGCAAAGCAAGAGTAATCCGATGCTTTGCGATGGGCACATCCACTTACGATAATAGCAGCCTGTACTGAAATCTACCGTTATTCATCCTATCACCATGCCTCATTGTGGATAATTGCATAATGCTATGTGTCTCCTTGTTTTTGCCGAGCACGGCCGCCTGCCTGGTGAGTGCTATCATACTGGTTTGTACTGGTTTGCCAGGAGGACGCATAGCCAGTCACTGTCTGCCAGGCTGACCTCCTTACCTTAAGTGGCATTTACCCGCCAGCATTCGGGTTCCTGCCAAACGCTCACATTTGGCCGCTCTGTAAGGTCAAGCAGGGGCATATAAATAATGTAACGTTACGGAGACATGGTCGGTAATCCTTACGGAGATGACGGAGTGATGTCTTGCTGCAAATGTGGTCACTCTCCTCTCCTTGCCAAGCTGCAGCTGCACGTTTTTATTTTAGAAAACTGGATTGCCGAAGAAAATAATTAAGAACGGCTGCCAGTGTGATGCAGCTCCCCGGGCACGAGCCCGTCAGCCCGCCACCCATTCTGGGGTTTCCACCACGTCACACGCCAGACTCTGTCAGGCTCATTATGACCATCCTTCACTCCTCCTCCTCCTTTTCTTAATTTAGAACTAGCACTAAAGAGTATCTGTCGCCAGATGCGCACAAGTTTTTCCTTAGTTTCCCAAGACGCAATCTGTAATAAGTGAGAATTTTTTGTAAAAGAATCCGTGCTTCCAAATTCAGTATGTGGTTTAGGACGAACAATCAGTGTGTATACAATATATACCTCAGAGTCAGAGTTGCTGATTGCTTTGCTGTTTTATTTCAGGAATAATCTCAATACTCTTGTTAAGGTGCCAAGGAAAAAAAAATACATGGTTTCTTTGCTCTGTTCTGGATAATGGTCAATTTGAAGAATTAGTGACTTCATACCACCAGCTGAATTCCAATTAATGTGTGGAATGAAGCATTGCATCGCGTCGTCTTTACCAGCGTTCCTGCTACGTGTAACTGAATTTGATTTAGCAAGTGTAAATAACACTAAACTATACTTGTCTTTCTTCATTCCTTAAGTGAAGCACTGGCTCAAAATGAATACATCATGCAGTTCTTTCAAATGATTTTCCAAATGCATTAAGGATGTTAGAACTGTATCATACTGGAAATGTGTAATGGCAAGGCAATCGCATAATAGCATACTGAAGTAAATACTTGACTCTCAGAGTATGTATGGGAGCCCTTTCAGATCTTAGCCCTGGCTGAGTAATCAAGACATGATGTCTGAAGGGTGAACACCAGCGTAGATGGGATATTGTGCTATGTACTAGAGCAGTGTGCTGTTTAAAGCCTGTCACTGCATGGGTCAACCTGAGTGTTCAGTCTATTTAGGGAGTAATATTTCCTCACTTTTGTACCTTTTTTTCTCTTTTGGGGAACAAGTTGTCACCTTGCCATGACCAATAACTCTGGCTTCTGAGCTGGAGCTCACGTTACACAGACTGTCCTCAAATGTTCTCTTTTCATTGTTACAGGGGGAGGATCCAGAAGGAGGTGCCATGAAATTCAGGTTCACAGTCCGCTCTGAGGCCCAGGCTACCAGCACCCCCATCTCTACAAGGAAAAGACCGGAAGAGGCATCGTGGCACAAAAGATCCCCCTCTCCACTCCGAGGCAAGTCTCAGCTTAGGGACAGCAGTGTGACATTAAGCCTTAGTCATACTTTACTCTCTGTCTATATCTACCATAAGCATGGCCTGCGGTTTTACACAACCGTGTCATCGGGATTGTCACAGAGCCACCAAATAACTGTGGAGAGCAGAGCTCTGCTTTAGCTTGTTTCTGCCAGACGGCCTGAAAGTTAAAGATGTCTCCTGTCTGCCTGTGTCAGCCACTTGACCAGGGTTGCCTGGATTTTCGGACACTTCAGCATAAACCCTGCGACACTCTTATTCGCTGTGTGTTTTGGACATGCCAGAAGCCCCGTGCTCACTGTGGATTATTCTGCCATTTTACTGGACGAGTCCAAGACAAATAGAGAATGGTCTTGCTGCAGATTTTTTTTTTTTTTTTTAATACACACACATGACAAACGGAGAGAAACACTTGTGGTCTAAGCGAGAGAGAGCTGCCCCTTTGGGTGTGATCCTCTGCATAAAGCTCCAACTGTGCCTGTTTCTCAGTGCCGCTGGCCACCCATCCATCCACCCATCCATCCATCCATCCATATATCCATCCATCCATACATACATCCATCCATATATCCATCCATCCATCCATACATACATCCACCCATCCATCCGTCCATCCATCCATCCATCCACCCATCCATCCATCCGTCCATCCATATATCGATCAATCCATCCATACATCCATCCATCCATGCATACATACATACATCCACCCATCCATATATCGATCAATCCACCCATCCATCCATACATCCATCCATCCATATATCGATCAATCTATCCATATATCGATCAATCCATCCATATATCGATCAATCCATCCATACATCCATACATCCATACATACATACATACATACATACATACATACATACATACATACATCAATCCATCCATTCTGGAGGCTACAGGTGCAAATGCAGGGAACCACATTCACACACCATTCAGGCACACTTACACACAGGCAATTTGGTAACTTCAATTAACCTCAGCATGTTGCTGGACTGTGGGGGGACATTGGGGTACACGGAGGAAACCCCACGATCGGGGGTGTAGGTTTCATATTAACACTGGGGGGGACAGGTATATCAGGGTCAAAGGTGTGATGTCACGTCGCCTTATAAGGCGATTCTGTAGTTGTGCTGTATACAGTTAGTTGTTTTTTTTTTCCTTCATAAACTATTGCTGTTATAGTTACAAAATATAAAGTGAAATTTATCTTTCCATTTTATTGTTATTCATCTTTACTAATTTGATAGTTTTAAATGTGATAAACCCGCATTTATGTACGCTGAATTTGCGGGAATTATTAAACTTACGCACAATTTGCAAGATTCCACCACAAATGTCAGGCCATTCATTATGGAAAAATAGCCTCACCTCAGGGTCCACTGTGATGCTCCTGCCGTTGTCCAGCATCATGTCTCTCTCACAAACACACCCTAACTTTCCGGAAAGAAACACAACACACATTAAATAGCGACTAGGACAGACCCACAGAAGTAAATATTGGGGATTTATCGAATCTCGAAAGCGATAAGGAGAACTTTCTGCCAGCCCTGTTTATGAACTAAATGATTCTGAGATCCTCGTAACTGAGCAACGTACTTTATGGTGTTTCCCATAAATGCCAGATCTGGCCACATTTTCTGACGAGCTTCTTCCTCATTCTTACGCCGTAACAGCAAACACAGTGGGATGAGAATCGTGACTGACACAAACGCTACGTACTGCTGTGCTGTTAACTAACCAAGCTAGCTGCAGTTTGCACACTAAAATAAGATCATCTTTATGAAACTTAATCGACATGAGTTAAATTCCACCATTTCACACAGCCTTTTATTGATTAACTGCTGGTTATGATACAGGGTCTTCAGTGAGTTAAGTTCACACACTAAGCCGCAGTGCGCTTCTGTGCTCTCCGCTCTCTGTGTCAATCGTCTCTTTACTCACGGGTCTGGAGGTGAGTGTCTGCCTGCCAAAGCAGGAGTTGAGAATAAACCTTTTTAACGGAGGGTTGGGCTCCAAATAAAAATTGTAAGAAAAAAAATGTATGTAAGGAGATATATTAATCGTATGTGTTTTTTTGTAAACTAGACATCATATATGATGATATTGAGGGGGATGTCTGTCCCCCCCCCCCACAATTTACACCTATGCCCACAATGGCAACAGGCAAACTCCACACACACGGTGCCTTGGTGGAAACTTGAACCCAGGTCCCTGAGATGTGAGGCAACAGCGCTAACCACTGTGCCCTCGTACCACCCCCGAAGAAATGATCCAAGTGGGACGCTGGACAGCACCTCACCAGAAAGCCGCTAGATGATTTCTGAGTAGATTAATGAGGAGGGATTTTTTCTCCCCTTTTTAACATCTAATAATACTTGATTAATGACTTGGCAAACACAGTACTTGCCGCTGCTATAGGAGTGCAGAACTGAAGGGGGTCATTTGTTAGACCTATAAACTTCACAGTCAGACAAGAGGCAGATGGGCGACTGGTGTTCAGAGGTTTTGACTTTATTCCTCTGTTAGCGGGAATGGCGAATGGCTCTCTACTATGGGTCCCTTTTAATTCCGGTAAGAGAAGAGACATAAGTGTTTGTAAACAACTTCTTAATAAGTGCACCTAAGGTGTCTGTGTTTGGATATTGCAGTTAATTTGAGTCATTTCTGGGTTTGTTGGCAGTGGGTCGATTTCATGCAGACTGATTAAAGGCCACATGCTCATCTAAAAGGAGTCATAAAATAACTGAAAATTGTAGCTTTTAATTGATGTCAAGTAAGTTCAAAAATCTTGATCCGAATCAAACGAGTAATGATATATAGTTATTAATTGAGCAGCGGTTATTATTCCGAAAATAAAAAGTACACCATGTCCAGTGGCAGTGAAAGTGCATGTGCCCCCCCACCCCCCAACTAACTGTAGTGAAAGAGCAATTAACATTTTAAGGGTGAAAAACACTAGAAATAAGTATGAGCTGTCATAATTATGAGAATCACTCAAGAAGAACACCAGAAACTTGACTTATCTGTAGGTTGTGATGTCTCTGAATGTGTGACGTGGTTATAACTCTGAATGGCGTTTACTGGGGTTATGAAGAGAATGGGATGAACTATATACAGTGTCTCCTTGAGCAGAAGAGTTAAAGGGGGATTATGGTTTTTTTCTATACTGTATTTTTCCAAATATTAGAAGCACATTTTTCTCCCAGCAAAGATGCATCAAAAGGTAGAATGCTGTGTCACAAACCTGCCCAGTATGTCATTTTGCAGAGGTCAGGATATTGAATATCGTAGCGTGTCACAGTTTCTTCTGCATTTTCTGCCGATTAACTCAAAGTCCTTGGATAGGTTGTAAAATGTTTTGCAGAACTTTGCGAACGACTGGCAGTAGAATGTGCCAGACACTAACTCTTTATGATGGAGGTCACAAGGACGCAATTAACTAAGTGGCCTTATTGCAAATTTACCTGTTTTACTCTCTGACTCACTGATGCTTGCTGATGGGAGAAAGTTCATTCCTCATCTTGATTAAAATATACAACTGATTTGGGGAAATAGTACCCCCCCCCCCCCCCCACACCTGCAGGGGGGTTTACATTTCCCACATTCAGCCTGGCTGGGAACTATACAAGACCAGCCACAAGAGCAAAGCTTTTTGTGAGGTCAGAATGCTTCATTCATGAATATCCTATAGTTTCAAAATACATGTCATAGTGTAGAACCAATTGCTACTGCAAAGTATCCAAGGAGCATAAAACCAGAATGGGTGGACTCTGCCAGCCCTCTCGTGTCCCCATTTTAGGAGTTAAATACGTCGGGGAAGGACTGCGTGTTTCAGAGCACGTCAAGGTAAAGATGTCGGCAGCCTATTTCACAGGTCAGCAGCATGGCGTTCCATGTCATTAGCGATGCCTCCCGTGGGATATGGAAACAGATATTTTTCACAATACCCGGCTAATTGATAGTAATCTACCAGTCTGTGAAGCATATTTACTTCTATGGTTAGCTTCTTGCCCCGGGATGAAAGGCTGATAAATCTGTTAAAAAAAGAAGATTGAGTTTAAGCAGAGATCTTGGAGGTTAAGCAAGATTGATTTGAGATGTAATGGCGTAATGATTAAATTGGCTTCACTTGGAGCTGTAGCAGTTCCTTAGTTTGCTATTATTCTTCGATGGCCACACACACACACACACACACACACAATTATGTAATTATATCTTTGTCGGGACCATCTATTTATTTCTATGAGCAAAACCTTAATCACTTCTGGCATTTTTAGGCTTTTGACTTCAGTAACAGATTTTTATAAAAAAAAAATCCCCTTCTGGGGACTGAAAACATGGTTCCCACAATGTCAAAATAGCAGGTTTTTATCACATTGTGGGGGCATTTAGTCCCCACAATGCCATATATGTATGCTCACATGTACACGGACATGTGTGCACATTACCTGACTTAGTTTTGCTGTACCCATGTATTACACTGTTCGCTGCTTCTGACCTGGGAGGTTGGAAGTTGCGCAGCGGCCTCTCTGGGGTTTTTCTCAACGTGATGTACTGGAATTTTACGAAATCCGTCGCCATTACCGTTTCTTAAAGTTTTAATAAAACGTACTACAAAATATGAGCATATTAGCAAACAATAGCGAAGTATTAAGTTAGAATATGCAAATATGCTACATATTTTCCAGCTGTAGAAGATATATTCCTCTTTTTTTATTCATGAGGTCAGCTTGGCTGGGAGAGGGGGACTGTAATAGTTATAAATGGCAGACATTTCAGCAGGAGAGATTGCTTGCATGGCATATAGGAGTGTGAATTATAGTATAACCTATAGCATGTGAGAGGGAATGACTTTCTCTTTAACAGGGACCTCTAGGTAGTTCTGAAGCTCCTGTGAAGCAGTGCAGCACACTGAGCTGCCGACAGTGGTCAAAATGAAACTGTGGGCTCTTCTGTATTTCCATAATGCGGTTTCTTTCCCAGGAGAGGCTGAAAGTGCTGAAGTCTATGGGGCACATCGGGGCAGTTGCCATGCGAAATTGCTTTGTTTTGTATAACTGGTAAAGTGGCGGAGCTACTGAGCAGTGGAGGGAAATAATATTCTCACAAGGCTCCAATTCTTGTGCCACTGACTGGGAATGTGCACATGTGCCTAAGCGAGACCCCCAAAGCTGCAGGTTGCTGGGCCCTGTGGAAGACAGTGGGGAATGTGGAGATCATTTGAGTAGCATCCACCATTCCCCCCCACAGCTACTGAGATGTGGCTCGTGGACCATTTCCCCCACAGCTACTGAGATGTGGACCATGGACCATTCCCCCCACAGCTACTGAGATGTGGACCATGGACCATTCCCCCACAGCTACTGAGATGTGGACCATGGACCATTCCCCCCACAGCTACTGAGATGTGGACCATGGACCATTCCCCCCACAGCTACTGAGATGTGGACCATGGACCATTCCCCCACAGCTATTGAGATGTGGATCATGGACCATTCCCCTCACAGCTACTGAGATGTGGATCGTGGACCATTCCCCCCACAGCTACTGAGATGTGGATCGTGGACCATTCCCCCCACAGCTACTGAGATGTGGAC